CATTGAAGCTCATAACGACGAGCCGTACAAGTACGAACGGTGTTGCTTTGCTTGCTGCACTCTGCAAGATTTATATTTGCTGGCCTGGTCTGATCTCTCTGCAAGATTTCGTTTTTATGGCTCCTGGGGTATTACCACTGTAGGTTTAAAACAAGCAAAGCATGGGTCACTCTGCTTTCTTGTGGTCCAGCTTCTTCTGTGACTCTGTGTGTGTGTGTGTGTAACTACTGTTTCTCTAGTCCTTCTCGGTTTCCTTCAAATTTTGGTCCACAGTCCACACACACAAACAATACTGTTAAGGCCAAAAAGAAAACATTGGGAAATGTAAGGGAGAGGGTAGAGAGAACATAAGGGCAATGTGGTCACTCCATGATACTATTTCATCTATTTGACTATATGTGTTTATTTTGTAATGACAAGTTTTAAAGTGATCTCTACTGATAGTGTAATCAATTTAAATCCATTATATTTTCTTATCTAATTCATTATATCTATTTATACTTACAAATTTAGCTACTAGTACTACCTTTTTTTCTAATAACAGTAAAACTCATAAATCGATGGTTTATATCGTTTCTAAGAGTAATAATACTGGTGGTAGAATATTAGTAATAGGCCACGGTCTAAATTAAAGATAAGTTAGAGTAGAACTTCTGTTCAATTGTTCTTTTTTCTCTCTTCTACTCTTCTTAAATACTACGTTTACAGTCTAAATTTAACACAAGTTCAGACGGTTTTAGCTTGTAAATATATCGATTTTAAACAGAAGATCATGTTCAAGAAACATATCTGACGCTTCCATTCGTTTTTTTTTTCTTTTGATTAACAGGAGAACAAAATATCCTATAAGTTTACAGAGACATAGTAATCCAGCAGAGAGAGTAATTGCTGAAGCAGCAGCACCAGTTACACTGAACAAAAAGAAGCAAAAGATTCAATGAGATGGAGATTGATCATGTAGCCGAATTAATACTTTTTTCCATGAGCAATGCTTCAATCAGAGACATTTGAAAGGACTCCCAATTGATTAGCCATATCTGCAGGCATAACAAACTTTACATATTCTTTTTTCCCTTCTGAATTGTAGTACATTACATGAGTTTCATCAACCAATTGTAGGCTTGTTCAAATTTCACTGTCATCCCCAAGCTTAACCCGGGTGCATTGGTTATTTATTGTTGTTGCACAAAAGAATGCTTAATGCACTGTGCTGATTTCTCTGTCTGCCTGTTCAACATATCTACTCGGAGTTAAGAGCCTATTTTTCAGTCAGGACCATCTCTGTGAGAGAGACAGCCAGCACAAACAATTGTCTGAAATGTGAAAGAAAATCTGTTCATCCAGGATGCGTTTCAGTGGCCTTCACTTCTCTGCTCAGCTATAACTACCATGGACACCAAATGGTTCAAGAATTTGCCAATGTGCAAAGCTCAGGATACCATGAAAGTTATTCTACCAATGGTCAAATGCGATAAGTTTCGAACATTGGGAATATAGAATATTTGGAACACAGGAATCCAATATGAATTTCATGGTTCTCGCTCCTGTAGAATTCATGTGAAATAACGATTCAAAAAAGAAAGAATTCATGTGAAAGTTCTTATTTCCAATTGGGCTATAATCTCTTCATCTGAAAACAACATGGGTAGTCACCTTGTTTGACAACTAGTGCCATTGAACACTTTGTCAATAAATCATGTGAAAATTTGCACTACTATTAATCTGTACAATCGTACATGGCACACACAATCATACACTCCTGAATTCTGACCTGCACCTCCTGATCACATAGTTTGGCTGATGAACAGGTGAGAATTAAACGGGCAGGCATACTTCCTGCAATTCAGTGTGAGGAAATCAAAGGGAATGTGCTGTTGGTGTACCTGAAAAAGGAAAGATAATATACAGTATACAAACTCCACAATCATTTTTTTTCTCAGAAGCATGTGAGAGAGAAATACCTTGCAAAAATGTATCAGGAAATGTCAGGCTCTGAATTCATCAGTTCTCTCTTCCTCCATTCCTCCCAACAAGAGAATTTACTGCAAAACAACATATGGCCACTCCCTCTCAGTTCTCAAGGCACACTCTATTTATGAATTCCCCTTATCTGAATCACAAATACTAGTGGCTGCTCCTGCTCAGTTCCTACCAGAATTCAGATTTTGCGCACACAACCAAAGCCTGCATTTTCATGTGACTTTGTCATGGCAGGAAGCAACATCATAATAAGTTGCTGAAATGAAGATGTAGGGAGGATGGTACAGCGATGATGGGGTGCAGCAGGAATTGAAAGCCTGGGATCATTTTCTGACGAAGCCTGCAGTGAATTGATCAAGAGCCTGCCTTATGTTGCTATGCAGGTAGTAGTAGACATGCAAAACGTTGGTAAAATGACTGCCTAATTAAATGGTTTGCAAGATCGAAGGAGAAATTTGGAAGACAAATTTACTTATGGTTGCATTGCGAGCTCTGGATTAGCATTGCAGCTATGAAAACCAAAAGAAAAAAAAAACTCCCAAATCTCTCCACAGGTAGGATGAAAATGGAACAGGTATTTCCTGCCCGGCCGCCAGACCAGAGACTCGTGGGAAGGATATGAAAGAGAAATGGGGTTTGAATCCAAATCCACAAAAAATATTGATTAGGATGTGAAAATAGTTGTATTCGTCCGTTTATCCCGTATTATCAAACATATATGAAAATTTATTCTGAATCAACCTACAAACATAATGGTACAATGGTTAATCACTATTTTATAAGCTCACAAGTAATATTACATAATTTTTTCCTTGATGTATCTTCTTTAAAACTCTAATTGCCTCCCTAGACTTAATATCTATGAATCAAAGATACAATAGAAATTCGTTCCCGAATCTGACTCAGAGGACAAAAAAATATGAGATAAGATAAAGGATGAGTGAAACGTTATCCGGGACTATCCGTACCTGGTTCTAAATTTAAAGGAAAATATAGGTTAATATACGAGAATGTCGTGATCCAATCGTTCCTGACCTAATTTTACCACCACAGGAAGTCCCACATTCTCCTGTCTGTTCAAAATTTCCGCTACTTTTCTAAAATATTGACTTTTCATTTCCCATGTCATTCGAAATGCATCATAATACATAGAGCTAACTTCATATTGGAAGAGATTGATCATTTGCATGTACCACTTCCCTTTTTCTCCCTTTGTATACATGGCATAAGGTTTTATGGGGAATATGTCACATACAAATAATATAATCCCCATTTTTATACTTCTGCAATTTTTTTTCTTGTGATAGAAAACCCAATTTTTTTAATGAGTTGAGGGAGTTGGTTTTGTTAGCAGAGAAGAAGTTGTAAATTGGGATTTATCGGGCCCCATATCAGAGGTAGGCCCAAGCGGGGAGGAAGGAGGCAAGTGGAGAAGGGGAGGAATAGGATACAAAGAAGTGAGGGGATAAGGTGGAGGAAGTGGAGCCCACTAACATGTGGGTCCTACTATTTTTTAATCTTCTTATTTGACTGATATGTGGACCCACATATTTTGTTTTATTTTTTAAATTATTAAATTTTGCTTCATGTGTCTTGTAGATATAGACCGAGTCAAATTAGCCACGTAAGTGCCACTTCAGCTGAAATGATAGTTGAAACCGTCTTGGGATTTATTTTGCATTGGTTTTGATAGTTGAGGAACCCGTTTTATCTGGTTTTCCGGTTGAAGGACGAAAATCAGATTTGTTGAGAAGGTAAGGGACCTCAGATGAACTTATTCCATTGAAAAGTCGAATGGCAAAAAGGTAAACAGGCCTGAATTTGCAGCCCACAATCCCTGGCCCATACCAAACCAGGCCCAAAGAAAACGTGCCGGTTGATTCCCCAATATGGGCCTCACCGGCCCATCTTGGCAACAGCCCATTTTACCACAGGTAGGCCCAAGGGTAAGCCCAACCCAGTGGCGCCCTTCTGCTTTCATTCATAGCTAAGCTTCCAACGGCTTCCTTTCTTCCCTCCCTCCCCTCTTGGCGCTCTCCTCTTCGCTTCCCGCCCTCCTCTCCTCCAATCCTCGCCGCCTCCTCCCCGAAACCCTAGCGGCGCTCGACGAGGCGGGCGGAATCCGGCGGATGCGTGGAGCTTCGCGGCTCGCCGTGGTGGTGGGGAGAGAGGAGGGGGCGTCTTCCCCGGTTGACGGAGTCGCGTCCGACGAGGCGGGATTCCGGGAGGGAGGAGAGCGCAGCACGGCGCGGCGGCGGAGCGAGAGATTCCCGCGCGTGAGAGGAGCGCGGAGGAGGGAGCTTCTTCGGTTCTTCCCCGTGGAGCGCGCGCGGCTGGAGCGAGCGAGCGAGGCGGCGTCGGATCCTCTCGCGCACGCGGTTTCGCTGGGGATTGGTAAGTTCGTGCTCATCACAACGTTTCTGATGCCATTCTGCACGCAGATGTGCTGGATTGGGGATTCTTATGGCGGCTTGATTGTGTGCGCGCGCGTGGGTTGGGGATTCTACACGCAGATGCTGGATTGGGGATTCTTATGGCGGCTTGATTGTGTGCATGTGGGGGGTACATTGCATATTGATTATGTGTGTCATCTTCTCGCGGCTAATGGATTTGCATTCTGCATTCTACACGCACTAGATTGCGGGTGGTAGACTCTGTTCTTATCGTGCCTTCCGCGGCTAATCGATTTGGTGGGAGACACCACTGTGGCACGATTGATGCAAACGAATGCTAAATATTTGGATTAGTTCATCCTTTATCAATCAGCTCTGCTCAATTGATTGTTCAATATGTCTTAAATGCTTATTGGGTACTTCGTAACTCCAATGAAGTTATAACTATGAAATGTTTACTGTAAATATCTTGTATTCTGTTATTATGGAGTATTTATCAAAGTACATTCAATTATCCCTTCTATTTTTTTGCTTCTAACTTATGCATGTGTCCTCTGGAGATAATATTATGTGTCCTCTATCAAGTTCTAATGACTTTCCTTTTGATATTGTTTGATGCAGCTTTATTGTGATCCTATATAAGTGGTCATAAAAATGGTTGTTCCACATTGCTACATTTACCTTATATTGCCTCTTCTATGGATAACAAATGCATCCGCCGTTACCATCTTCAATGTGAATTATATGCCCATGGAAGACAAGGTCAAAGGCCGCAAATTATCAGTAGCTGATATCCACCTAGGTGGAAATGTACTTCAATCTGGGTGAGGAACTTTACATGATCTATGTTCTCTCTTTCTCTCTCTCTCTATATATATATAGATCAACCGTTTGTGCACTTACTGAATTCTAACTTTGGTTGCAACAATTCATTTCAGGAACTATTATGCTGAACTGATACTTGGTGAGCCACCAAAAAAGTTCATTGTGTTGATTGACACCACATCTAATCTTCTGTGGGTTAATTCTATATCTTGTAAAGATTGCCCTACAAAAAGTGCATCCAGAGTAATTATCTACTGCTTTATTTTTCTTAACCTAACAGGTATTTGGAGGTGACTAAATATTCTGAACCAATTACACTTGTGTAGGTCCTGAGTTTCTATGATCTGGAGAATTCACAGACTGGACAACTTTTACCATGTAGTGATGTTTTCTGCAAACACCTATCCAGCTCCACATCTATTCCATGCCAAAAAGACCATCCATGCATTCACTTTGAAAAGTATGGCACTGAAAATTTGCTCCACGGAAAAATTGTCCAAGATTTTCTTGTACTTGAAATTGTCATCAACCATTACAAAACAAGCAAAGTCAGAACTAAAGTTCAATTTGGAAGCATTTCTCAACACTTGAAATCCTTATCCTCAAGCTTTACAGTTGATGGTGTGATGGGCTTGGGGCCATCCAATACTTCTCTGGTGTACCAGCTGGCAAAGTCCCAAAAATGGAAGAAAATGTTTGCTCACTGCCTTGATGGCAAAAGGAGTGGGGGCATATTTGTGTTAGGCCATATTGTGGGTCCAAAAGTTAGAAAAACTCCTCTGGATCAAACAAGGTACTTGACATTGTTGTTTAATATGACTGTGGTGTAGATGTATTCTTAATTGCGAGGTGATATTGACTATGGAGTATTTGCCAACGCTGTAGTTCTAGGTACCGAACTACTTTGCTGGAAATAACTGTAGGAGAAACTTCTCTAAGCCTTTCAGCTGGAAATGTTGAGATAAAAAGTCAAAACATGACAATATTGGAAACTGGTTCTCTGATTTCTTACCTGCCAGAGAAAGTATACCAGTCGTTTCTAGATTCTGTAAGAAAATTCACTTTCCTCTTTCAGCACCCTTTGCTACATTCATTTTACTTGTCAATATTTATTGTCATTTTTCTGTACAGATATTTTCTGATCTTGAGGATATCAGTGTCATAAACATTGGAGGCTATTCATGTTTCCACTATGAACGAAGGTAAATATGTTTATGATTTTAGAGATTATTTTTTCTTCTTCGGAAAAAATGGCATGTGCTTTCTAAGTTCTTAGGAAACATTAATGGTCTATCCTTTTTTTTGCCCTACATTAACATCATGTTCCATGAGATAAGAATGTAGTTTGTTCTATAGGTAATCTGTTCAAGTAATTAGATATATTAAATTTTCTTGCTGATAGTGATAGATTAACTTTTTAGCAATATATGAACATCTTTTTGATACATTTTGGTGTTGATTGCACAATCTTCACCAATAAATTGTTCAAAGTCACAGAATAACCTCCTCTCTCTCACTGGTCTGGGGAGTGGCGACATGTTTTGACTTAATGGGGCTACTAGTCCTCTCAGTTTTTCATCTTGGGAACAAGCGTACCAGTTTAGCTAGATCCATCAAACAACCAGATAACTAATCAACATGTTGTTTTTGTTAGTATTGATGCTAGGTTTCCAGAGGTTGTATTTCACTTCAAGGAACTGCTTACTTTGCGAGTCTACCCTCATGAATATATGTTTCACAATATGGAGGTATTTCGTAAAGAAACTATGCTGTTGCTCAAATATGCACTGAGAAAATATTGTGATGTATATTGTGTTATAAACTGTTTCTCTTTAGGAGCACTATTACTGTCTTGGGTTTTTGAGTTCAGAACAAAGGAATCATCGAGAGAAGGACTTGTTCATTCTGGGCGGCAAGTTACTAAGCCTGTACTAGAATTGTACTATTTGATGGTTTGCATATTTGACTTGGTGGTAGGTGGTAACTGCTTCTTGCGATTATAAACCTGTGGTGCAGGAAATTTGTTCACTGATAAAGTTGTTGTATATGACTTGGATAATATGATGGTTGGATGGACCGAATTTGATTGTAAGTCCTGTCAACGTTTTAGCTTCATTGACTTTCAAACTGCAACCAGTAAAATGTTGTTTTATACCAGGTTCTTTCGAATATTGTGTGCACTGTATCTGTTCAGGTAAATCCAGTGTGCATGTGAGAGACGAACCGACAGGAAAAATATATGAAGTTGGATCGCACAGGATGAACTCCGATGTGAAGTGGGATGATGAAGACGTGTGGAGCCATGATAGAGTGAAGTTGGAAACTGAACATACAACTCCAGCTGATAACACGTCTGAGAAAACAGAAGTTCACAGTGGACTGCTTTCACGTTCAAGAACCAGGTTGCTTGCGATGATTGGTGCTCTGGTGTGTTACGCGAGACGGTCAATAACCAAGCTGTTTGCGATGATTGGTGCGACCATTTGTTACGGGATTCTCTTGGCCACGTTGTTCCTCTGCACCACCTTCCGTCGATCTACCAGCTGGAGAAATATGAGTATGCTGAAATGGTTGTTGGCTCTAGTTGTGGGGGAGATTTTGGTTATCATTGTAGGGTTCATAGTTTTGTAGACAAAGCACATAGACATTGTTTCCCACAGATATACAGTTTTGAAGAAAAAGTTTTACACGTAGTGGATGACACATACAACTGCAAACAGCCAGTTTGTATAGTACCGCACAAAACACTGAAACAGGGGGTAGAGAAAGTTAACTGTACATATTTCCTTCCTGTTAAAATTTGAATGTTCCATTGATTGTAAAACTGAAACGAGGTTTGAATAATGGTTGGATTGAGCCTGCTGCCTGCAGTGCAAAATCGTGTTCAGTTTTGGTTGTGAAATTGGTATCTGTAACTTGCAATGTTTGCCGTATTCGAGAAGCTTTTGTTTGTGTAAGATCATCTGATGCTGTTCGTCTTGTGAATAACAATAAAATCTTTGATGATATCATTGATATGTATATATACTTAGAAAAAATGCCAAAGCATTACAACGGGTAAATGATATTTTAATTTTATTATCGTTATATGGTTTAGCTAGGGTAAAATTCACTGTGTGAATTTGCATGAATATTTTTTAAAGAAAATCATAGACTGTAATTAGGAGTTTGTATTTCATCTCAAGTTAGCATGCGGGTTTTTTTAAAAGAGATTTCTTATATGACTCTTTTTGTATTTTCAAAAACAAACAAGCTTAAAATTCAACTCAAATAGGGATATGCATTTCCAAAAGCCGCAGAGAAATTAAAAACCGACTCAAACGAGGTACCATAATAGTAATAGAGATTACTTTACATTACATCGTTATGATCTCTTGTTGGCTAGAGATGAGAGGATGAATGTAACAGGACTGCAAAGAGGACGGAGGAAGCGGGCGAGTTCATCAATGGTGAATCCGAATCCGAATGCATCGTCCGCGAGCAGCAGCGTTCCCACGCTATGGAAGAGCCAGGCGGCGGAGGCGGCGCCGAGCGTCAAGTAGTGGTGCACGCCGGCGACGCCGCGGCGGTCGGCGAGGCGAAGGGTGACGACGGCGGCCGTGGTGCTGAGCCAGTAGAGCAGGTTTCCCGCCAAGAAGTAGCGCCACCACATCCCCTGCATCCTCGCCGCGTCGGCCTCGGCGGCGGCCGGCGTTAGTGCGGTTGGGCCGCCGCAGAGCGGGCGTCGGGGCCCTTGGCCAGGTGGCGGCGCAGGCATTCTTGGTGCACGGCGCGGCGGCGGCAGCACGCCGGCGTGGCCAGCGTGTCGCCCACCTTGAACTCGCCGAGGCAGGCGTGGCACCACCGCTCGGCCTCCGCTCCGGTGTGCCTCGGGCAGAGCGGCAGCACGACGACCGCGCCGTCGTCGTCGGTCGCCGGTGGCAGGTACAGCTGCACCGGCAGCCATTCTTGCGTGGACGGGCGTTCGTCGTACACGCCAAGGTATCGCACGTCGACGAGGAGGAGGTGGAGTGCGCCGCCGGCGCCATCGCCGGCGACGTCGGTGGCGAAGGAGCATAGCTCGTCCTCGAGGCGGCTGCCGTCGGCGGGGAGGTCGAGGAAGCGGCAGAGTGAGAAGGCGAGCCAGCGCCAGGGGACGGACGCGGCCGGCGTGGGCTCCTGCAGGGCGAAGCGCAGGTCGACGACGGCGTGGGCGTCGGCGCCGCTGCCGGCAGGAGGGTGGATGCCGAGGCGGACGACGATTTGCTTGGCCACCGCCTCCGCGTCGTCGCCATCGTCCTCTCGCGCCACGCCGACCGTGCCGATGGTGACCGTGGCGTTGTTGTAGTGCACGTGCACCACGCGGGTCGCCGCCGGCGACGATGCCATCGCCGTGTTCCGCCGTGTGCGGTCGCTTATTAGGGATACATAATAATAATAATAATTGTAGTTGATATTAATTTGTCGAAAGAGACGTATTGTGTTGGAGTCGGTTTTACAATTTACATCAGATCGATTGAACATAGTACTACAGTAATTTCTCCTGATCCGTTTAGACTTTAGAGATGGTTTTCGTGGATATCATTATCATCTATTCCTTCCGCCCAGTAATATAAAAAATTGTTATGCCATTTTTAGCAAATATTAAGGAAGTGCTGTAGGAACAAAGCATGGAGAAACATCCAGGGGTATTCCGGCTAGCTCTATAAAATGATAGGCTAGATGATCTAGGTTCGAAGCTTCACCTCTTCTAATTATTTGACATTAGATCATTCCCTGCTATTTACATCTTTTTTAAAGGAACACAGCATGATATAAAATATGATGGTTGGGAGAATAAAGTAGTAAAAAAAGATGTGGGTCATCTATATGGAACCGGATCCTCTGATTCTACGTCAGAGGGACATCCACGTCCGATCACCGTTCACTACGCATCCAACGGCAGCATCATTTTTAAGCTCATAAGCATTGGATTCACAAAATGATAAAATAGCAAGAAATCTTAGCCATTGAAATGATCGGAATCTTCTAGAAGTTGTAAAATACAGAGAGAAGGAAGAGTTTGAGCCACTCATTGCGTCTCATTGGTTATCTCATGTTGGCCTCCCAAAGAAGCCTAGGGCTGGCTTGGCGTAGCCAATCAACCCAAACGATTCTTAGAATATACTCCATCAGTCCAGAATATAAGAAGTTTTAGAGTTGAACACAGTTATTAAGAAAGTAGGTAGAAGTGAGTAGTGGAGGATCGTGATTGGATGAGTAGTGGAGGTAGATGGAAAAAGTGAATGGTGGAGGGTTGTGATTGGTTGGGAAGAGATTATTGGCGAAGAAGTTGTTATATTTTGGGATAAATCCTGATGGCTAAAAAGTTGTTATATTTTGGGACAAAGGAAGTATGACCAATTAAATAATTTTAGAAGAGGGAAAATTATTCTACATATAACACTTTATCAGTCAGCAACAATCAAAACAAATATGTAGAAAAAAAGTTAACATCTCAAAGCTTATAACATAATTACAATTATGATGTGCAATTTTACTAGACCCAGGATATTTGGAACCAAGGTAGTAGTGAAATTTAATTTTGATTCTTACAATAATATCACAAGTTTAGCATAATTATAGTAAATTATTTATTTCCATTACAATATGTATTTATTACATATCAAAACAGTATAGTATTTGTATTGATCCTACACTTCCGACCAAATACTTTCTTCGAATATTAATCAAGTATGTAAAACAAAAATATATTTTCTAATAGTGGGGGATAAACATATTTATAATATAATATGATGATAATTGGGTTACACAGCAATAGAGATAACATGATTGCAAGGTGGTGGCCCAAGCAGTAGCAAAAAAAGACACTTACAGTCGTGCGAATAAAAACAGGAAACACCAAGGAAAAGATAAATACAAACCCTAAGTCTATACATTAATTATTGGTTTAGCTGAATGGTGAAAAAATTATTGTTAATTGTAATAACAGCTAATAGATAGGTTATAGTCGCGCGAACGTGCATCATTCACTAGTTGCTTTGAAACACTAACAGAAAGGGATAAATTGATTGCGCGACGAAAAAAAAATATACTGTTATATAAAAAAGAATACTAGCTTGGAAATTGTTCACGCTTAGAAAAAATGATACAGGCCCTCGGCAGGTTTTTTCTTTCTTTCTTTCTTCAAATGCAACACAAAAACTCTCTTATGAACGCGCATGGATCTTTCTTCAAAATACAACACAAACACATACGCCCATATAAACGCGTACATCCGTGCATATCATAGTCAAAAATGAACCACGCAGGCAAATTAACGTTGTTATCTATACGCTCTGTTTCAATTGACGCACTAGTGATCAATATCGATACATACATTGTTCACCAATCCTCGATATATAGGATGGTGACGCGCCTCGCTAAAGGACGTTGGCCTCTCTGCAGCAAAGACGTGGCAAACAACGAATTGAATGTGAGGTTGGGAATTTGTTTGTGCCGGCCGGTTACAATGGAAGAGAACAGCGGTGGTGGAACAGTCTGATGGATTTTAAACACTGCAAACCAGACACAGATGCATAGAATTCCTAGAGTCATTTTAGTGCATCGTATCTTGAAATCAGTAACGTGCTAAGCATCATCCACTGTAGGAAAAAAAATCATGGCCAGAAGTATCCGAAAACAAAAGGGAGTATACATTTCTCGCCTACAAACATTTCATGCGTACAATGCAAATGTTTCACATCGTTTGTACCCATAGAGCATTTCAGATTCAGCATTCCTGTTAGATGGGCAAACCCAAATTCCTGAAGCTGCTGAACAGTCTATGTCTAGTAGCGTCCAGGTTGACCCATTGATGTACCTTGCTTCATTCTACATTGCATCTCCCAGATAGGCGTTGCAGGCTTGCAGCACAGGGTGTCCTCTAGGTTAGATCTATTGACTGAGTCTGTAGCTCCTTCCTCTGAAGGCGCCTGATCCGGTGTTGGCGGCCGCGGGTCGGACCGGAGCGTTCGCCTGCACACCTATTCTGAATCGAGCAACAATCTTATGTCTGTACAGCAGTTAAGGAACCATGGAGCGTGTACCATCGAAAATATAGTAGTAGTAGCTATTGAACATGGATTGAAATGCTTTGGCCATGAACCCATATAAAAAAGGATACACCCACATTGGTGTCTTCAGGTAGTTCTTTCCGGTGGCTAGCGGGTGCAACACTGAGAGGAAGTAGTACGTGTGTCCAACGAGAATTCCCAGAAGGCCAGGGAGTATCTCTGAGCCAAATATCACATCCAACCCAAGCATTGCCCATGGTAGATAAAAGGACTGCAGAAATGGAGTATATTAACCACAATCAAACATAATTTGCTCCACAAGACTTGAAACCAATATTGATGACCTATAAAGGGCATCGAGTTCTATATATGGTAGTAGTGAAGCTTACCCTCAGTTGGACAAGGCCATACATGCTGATCTGAGAATTCGGATATTCTCTGCTCCAGACATAAAGAAGCATGCTGACCATGGGTACTCCCAAGAAATAAATATCCAGGAAGGGAATAGCTGACAATGCCTGATCCAAGCAAGAAAGATTTATATGTAGTATGTGAGTCCAATGAATTGAATTTTTAAGGTCTGATTAAGCTGCTAAAAATACAGTACAAGCTAGCACTGACCAGCAGTGATATGGCACCAAATATCATCATCCACAAGAAATCAGCTGTGCGCTTTTCAAATGCACCCTTTTCTAACTGCACGCCGTATCTTGCTCTGCATGCCCAAACACACAATTGATTCAACCAATGGCTGCAAGTTTACTTATTGTAATACTCTGCATGCTTTCAAACACACAATTGATTTCAACAAGACTTACATCATCAGAAGGCGAATCCCAAAGTTGATAGAAAACTTGCCCAGGAAAAAGAAGCTTGTAAATAGCCTCCATATCTGTAAGGCCCAGAAACAGCTCTTATATTGAAAGTAAAATAGCAGGAGTGCAACAAATTACAGGTGCCAATTGCCAACATAAGCATAGGACAAACTGCAATGCTTGATTACATTGGCCAAATGCTAAACAAATTTGTTCATAGGGCATTGTGTGGACATACAACACTATGCACGGTATAGAAGGTGCATGTCGCAACTAAGTATCAGTTAGTGTTTGAGAGGGGAATGGGGTAGACAAACAAATCCTCAGTCCTAATGTGTTTTTAAAAAATTCGGGTGCAAAAACAAGGGGCAACAATAAACTGTACTGGTAGATAACAGAACAGACAATATATAAACATATGCTGACCTGAAATTTCTTGAACACAAAGGGATAGTATAAGGCAAGAAAAGGTGGATTCAGTATCTGGAGCTGGCACAGTACAGTGGCAAAGAAACACAATGTTCCATATGCCTTGCTTATTGGTGGAAGTGAGTTGTAGTACCTGAAAAGGGAAAGTAAGTAATCGAGTATCCAGAAGCAGCTGTAGCAAAGAGTTATGACTTTGATGTGTTCATGTTCTAGCTGTAAACCTCGATTAACTAGTAAAAAATTACATCCATCAGTGAGCAAAAACAAGTGCAATTATCAAACAAAATGAATAGTTTATCAAATATGATCTCGTTCAAAATTTCTGATTACATTGTAAACCAATATGCTAAAGCATGCTCAAAGAGAGACTGTCACACTAACAGCAGAGGATCTAGGATGAAAATTACCGGATGTCCTGTACCTATCACAGTTCTAAAACTAACAGTCTAGTTATATGCTAACATGGTCTAAGCTAATGGAATTCCAAACTCAGCCTGTGTCCCGTGTACCAGGCAGGTACTATATATATCAAGGATATCAACTCAGGTTATATATTCCATATACATTACAGACGAACAGTACTTCCCACGTGTACCCGACAATAGAAACAAACTAACACAATTGCAAAGCCTTTATAACAGAAGTGTCACTCATTGTCGATTCAGAAATTAGCTCAATACTTGTAGCAATTTCAAAACCCATAGCAGAGCCCCAAGCAGTTAAGAATTTAACATAGGAAAACAAAATTCAGCAAAGCTAAATGCATTTTAGAAAGCGACCAAATTATTTCAATAACTTTCAACTCATACCAAAACAGCGACCGCCTTTAATGACCACAGATCATAAGAGCATACCCAATGGCCAATGTCAACCCATGCTACCAAGCTTCAAGCCAGAGTTTATTACAGGCTGTTGTATTCACCGTGTGCAAAATTTATCAACAAATAAGCTTATAACTATCCAATTGTGCATCTAGGTTTTGAAGACAGTGAAATACTTCAACAAATAAGCTTATAGCTATCCAACTGTGCATCTTTATGTTTTGAAGGCAGTGAAATACTATAACATACTCTATAATTTATGCGCATTGGAGAATGAATATTAGCAGATATGTATTGGAGAACAAAGACTGCAACTATCTAATTTAGGTCTTTACTAGTGGAACGAACCGAGAAGTGTGCTTCTGACTCCAAAATTTACAAATAGCATCAGATACAACCTTCCCAACCAAAACATCAATTTGTTCCAGGCGCATGATTGTGCTTTAGCAAGGAGTGTAAACTCTACAACGACAATACAATAATATCCACTTGTAAACAGCCAATTCATATACCTCAATTTTCATCAAGTTTGTAAACAGCCAATTCATAGACCTCAATTTTCATCAAGTGAGGCCATGCCAAGGAATCCGTCAGAACACTCCTACTTCACAGTTCCCACCAATGCTAAAATTACTTGTCATAAACTCGTCAAAATCATCAAAAGTAGTGTATTAACTAATAAGCTTATATCCATCTAAAGACACCTGCAGTTACAACAGCCCAACCCAACCAATCAACCCAAAATCCTACACGCGATCTCTAATTCCGAACCCTAAGAGCCCAAGTTTAAACCACTAAATTCATTGCGCCAAAAAAAAAACTAAATACACCACAACGACCCACGCCTCTCTAACCTTGAAAAATGAAACTAATCAGCTATACTCACGATAAATTTAGCCCGGGCCCCTCCTGTAATCCCCCCTAACCCAGGCCAACCTCGAGTGATCTGAGACGCGGCATCAGAGACTAACAGAAACAGATCGGGGGGAGACTGAGGGAGGCTCACTCTGCCGGGGAGGACATCTCGTCGGCGGCGGCGGTGGCGGCGGCGGCGGTGGCGGCGGCGGCGGATTCGAAGCCTCCTCGACTCCTTCTCGTCGGCGTCGTGTTCGGGGGAGTTCGAAAAATCGAAGTCGAAGGAGGAGAAAAATAATAATGGGGAAGTCGCGTTCGCTTCGTCGCCGGGGCGGAAGGTTCCAGAGTCGAGAGAGAGTCGAGAAGGCCAGATGGGAGAGGCGGGATGGGCCGTGGATCCTGGATCGGACGGTCGAGGATGCTCGGACACGTCGACGTGGGCGATGCGGGGAAGGCGATTGGTCGGAGACGTGGATGGGGCGCTGAGGTGGCCGGGGTGGCGTGGCAGCGGGCCTCTTAGCCGTTGGATCAGAGTGGGATCGCTTGATCCTACGGCAGGAAACAGGAAACACTGTACGAGCATATACCGAGAGTGAACATAGAAATAAGAAAAATATAAGAATATAATAGAATTGTATGTCGAAAACACAGAGAAACTCCATTTATAGGATAATGCTTACCATCGGCCGTCCGGCCAGAAAGAAAAAATCGAGCGTCCCAATTCAAAAGAACAACAATGTAGATGCATGGTGAACCAGTTCGATAGATGTACTCACAAGCCAAGGGAGCGTGCATGCAAGCATGTTTCAAAATTTAAATTTTTTTTCTCTTAAACTATTTATTTGAATTTCTAACTAATTATATTATTAGATTCATTGCAATTAAATCTTTGTAACAAGATATCACATGACTACATTCCGATGACTTTTTTTTACTTTTTAAATGTTGCATACATTGTTAATGAAATGTTCCAACAAGTATCTGTTGATGTTTCACTAATGCATTTGCAATATTTCATATTATCTTTTTTATATGTTTCAGCGAATACTTTTTTATGTTTCATCAATAATAATAATTCGATGTTTCAAGCTAAATATAAAAAATGTTTCACTAGTCGGGACATAATGTTTCATGTAATAATGATTATTGTTGCAGTCAATACTTTTTATATGTTGCATCTCTTCGAAACAATTTATGAAATAGGTTGAAACATCTCCACAAGTGATGAAACAAATTTATTAAGTATTTGTACAAAATATTTTATGTTTCATATGATTTTTTTTATGTTTCACTCATTGGTATTTAGTGTTTCGTGTAGTAGTTGTGATTGCTTCATTTAGTAATTTCTATATGATGTATTTCTCTTAATCTGAAACATTTCACCATGTGAGTTGCAACGTGATGAAACAACTTTCCATGAATGGTGAAACAATGGTTGATTTTTCGAAGCATATGTATATTTTTATTAAAATATAACTATGTGAGATTTTGTTATAAATATTTAATTACGATGAATCTAATGGTATAATTGAAACTTAGATAAGATATATAATTTCAGAGAAAAAAATTAGGCACATGTAATACGAGGGAGAGAGAGTATGCAAGCAGCAGCAGCACAAGCAACATGTACAGGGCAGGCAAGCAACACGGCAAGCAGCAGCATATGCAGCCAAGCAACGCAGCAAGCAGATGTGCGGCAGTGCGTGGTTGGGCGTCCGATATTTGTGAAATATTGGACGTCCGACGCGTAGCATCCTCCAAATTTATAGGATGCTTTGTTGTTTGGAACACAAGTTTTTTTTTAAAGAAAAACACATGGATGTTATGCCTGAATACAAGATTAAAATTCTATCCTATGATAACGAGAGTGATAAAAAACAATAACGTCGGAGAGCATATGTTTTAGAATCCTTTAGAGATCCTATATTTTCATGGGAATGTCTAACATGTCAGTAGTGGCAGATCTGAAAGATCATGGATCCTTTAAAAAAACCTTGTGAAAACACGCTACTATGAGAAGGTTTTTTTTTTGGATAAAATTTTTTCGCTGGTGGCACAGTCTGCCGCCTGTGACAAATAACCAATGAAAATAGAGCCTTTTCACCTGCGGACGACTAGCCACCAATGAGATCCCCTCTTCACAGGTGGCCATGCTTAAGACGGTAACCTATGCTAAAAAAATCATCACAAGCGATGAGATTACGCTGGCCGCCAAGGATGTCGTCATCGTTGTCACTGAGCCGCAACCCTAGCCGTTGTCACCACCATGGGCTAACGTCACCGAGCCTGTGTGCAGAGTCATTGCCGAGGACCGTCGCTGCCAGATCTGATGGTCCCACACACTATCGTCAGTCGTCTTCTTGCTCCCCAGCCAGATCGACCAACGGGGAGGCCGGGGTCACCAAATACCCAGATCCGGTGGCCTCGACCTCCTCATTGGTTGATGTGGTGGTGGTACTTGTTGACGGCGGTTTCCTCATGGCAACATGCCACGACAGTAGCGCGATTAGGCGTTGTGCCTTAACGGCGGGTGTAGGGAAGGCCAAAGATGGAGTGAGAAAGATGGTAGGTATGAGGGGCAAGGCAACCGAGGGATGGAGGGTGAGGCAGGACCTTTTAATATGGTGAAATTTTATCGCGAGCGATGCTCTTTACCTACCGCCAGCGAAAACCTATTTTTACTAGCGATGCTTAAGAGGTTCGCCTCAAAAAATAACATGTCCGCCAATGAAAATCGGCTTTTTCTGACGGCCCATGACCCATAATCCTCCAATACATTTTTATAAATGTTTGTTTCGCTTCTCCGCCAGAAAAGAGGCGGCATCATAAAAAGTTTTTTATAGTGTAAATCACGTGACAAAGAGATAGAAACGTCGGCTATTTAATAGATAGATAAAATAACGGTTTGTCTAGTTAAATCATAAAAATAATTATTTAAAAAAGGAAAAAGTACGAATTACCCCCTCGAAACTAGGACGACGGCATGAATTACCCCCCTAAGCCACAAAATCAGTCATTTTATACGAACTAGCTATACCGGACGAATAATCCCCTCGACCGAAAATCCAAAGCGGTATCGTCCTACGTGGCGTGCGCGTGTTAATCTAGTCAGCATTTTTTTTAAAAATGGTGGGGCCCACCTGTCATACTCTCCCATCTCTCTCTTCCCCTCTTCCTCTCAATCTCTCTGTCACCGTCTCAGATATCGTTGGGAGCGACGAGTTGGTGGCCGACGATGGGCGTGGCGGTGGCGGGGCGGGCGGCGAGCGCAGCGGCGGGGTGGTGGAGGAGGAGGAGGGGTGGTGTTGTTGCCTCCGATGAACGCGATGGAGATCCTGCAGGAGATGGTGCGCGTGCTGCGGGCGGACCCGCACGCGTTCACGTCGGTGCTCTTCTTCCTGCTCTGCCCGGCATCGGTCGGGGTGCCTCCTGCTGTCCACCGCCGCGCTGGAGGGTGCAGCCGTGCTCCCGTTCGCGCGGAAGCTACTCCTCGCGGCGGTGGCGTCGGGGCTCCCGCTCACGCATTTCGTCAGGCAGCTGGCGCACCACCTTGCCGCCACCCTCATCGCGTCCGTTGTGTCATTCTCGGCGACATTCACGCTCCTCCTCGCCACCCGCGCCGCCGTTGCGTACGCGGTCATGGCCGTCTACGCGGGCAAGCCGCTCCTCGCCGGCGCCAAGCCTGCCTCTCCTCCTTCCTCGCCCTCCTCGTCACCGCGTGTTCCACGCTCAAGTCGATGCTTTACCCGCCCGACATTGTCGTCTGTGCCGGCCTCCTCACCGTTCTCGCCTTCTCCGTGGTGGGGGCAGGGCAAGCGGCAGGCGTGGCGGGGGCGCGGAGGGCGTGGTGGAGAGGTGGGCGGTGGCCTGTGGCCAGCGGGAGTGACGGTGCCCGTGTCCCCCTGCTGTCGCGCCGCCCCGCTGCCCCCGTGTTGCCGTGCCCCCCCCCCCTGTCGCGACGGAGGGCGGTGAAGTGGCGAGGGTGGAGGCGGAGGTCGTTTTCGCCCTTCCGCTCCGAGCCCCCGGTGGCCACCGCCACCGCGCCCGAGCTCGTCGTCATCGTCTTCAACCTGGGTTCGTCAGTCTCTCTGTCTCTCTCACCCTCTCTCTCGGGCTGTCGGGAGGTCGGCGCGCACGGCGGCGGGTCGACATGGCCGTGGCCGCTGCCCATTCCCGTGCTCTACCGCAGCCCCCCGCACGCCGACCGCCTGTCCGCGCGCTGCTGCCGCTGCCCACTGCCCGTCGACGCACGCCTGAGAGAGAAAAGGGGGGAGGGGTTGAGAGGTAATGACATGTGGGCCCTATATTTTCTTTTATTTCTTTTTGTTGATTGGATTTCCACATCAACGCCACGTGTATGCCACGTAGGAGAAAAACAGCTCAGGATTGAGTCGGGGGAGTAATTCATCCGGTATCAATAGTTCGAGGTGTAATATGTCTGGTTTTGTGGTTCGGTGGGGGGAGGGGTAATTCGTGCTTTTTCCTTTTAAATTAATAGGTATGTACTCTTCACCGATTGCAGTAGCACCACTATGAAGAGTATGCTTTAAAGAGCTTAATTTACTTATAGATACCAACCTCATGCATTGCAGTGGGATTTTATGAGAAACATTAATCTAACAGCTGATGGCTCATAGACAATTTGATCCAATGATAGAAGCACCAGTTTGATGATGCATTAAGCTCCCTTATACTCCCTCTGTCCCTACATATATAAGGGATTTTAGGTGATATGACGATTCGTAGTCTTAGGATACGTCTCATCCATTCAAAATCTTTTATATTTTGGGACGAGAGAAGTACCAATTAATGCACCTAAGTGGTGGTTACATAGAAATAGAGGATTAGTTTTCATGTACAATATTATATCTCTGACTACTTCTTCTCTATAATTCTTCATCATTTCAGACCCTGTTTAGATCAGGGGTGAAAAAATTTGGCGTGTGACATCGGATATACGGACACACATTTAAAGTATCAAACGTAGACTAATAACAAAACAAATTACAGATTTCCGCCTGTAAACTGCGAGACAAATTTATTAAGCCTAATTAATCTATCATTAGCAAATGTTTACTGTAGCACCACATTATCAAATCATGTAACAATTAAGCTTGAAAGATTCGTCTCGTAATTTACACGCAATCTATATAATTAGTTTTTTTTTAGGGTTTAGGGTTAATACTGTATGCATGTGTCGAACAGGGTGAAAAGTTTTTGCATGGCAACTAAACAGGGCCTTAGTCAAGTGACAAGTTACTCTCATGGCACATCATTGTGTATAGGACTGAAGGAAACCCTGCTGTTGGCAAGTTGTCAATGTCTTTTTCTAAAATGGGCTGCATGTTATCAAGGTCTTTTGTCGCATTGTTGACAAACTTGTATATCGCCACCTACGACTCCACGGGTTTTCGATGTGACTTTGTTTGGCCTCCATTATTTACTTCTTCTTGTACCACCCTTGCCTCATAGTTCATTCCACATAGAATTTTTACACCTTTAGTGAACTTCCAAGTTCGAAGGCCTCCATCACTAATATCATTAACACAGATAGTGAAATTTAGAGAATTATGGGACCGAGATGCAAGGGAAAGGAGAAAGGGTATCATGAGAGCAGAAAGGCTCACAAGTGGGCCAACCTCATTGGCATGTAAAATACATGCATATATAAATGTATTTTCTTGAAAATGTTACATTGAATGACGATATTTTAAGGGCTTATTGGGCTAAAGGTTTACTCTCTCCGTCTCAAAATGAACAAACGGGATGTGAAACATCCTAATACTACGTATGTGGACAAGCCTACAAGAAATTTCATCTCTTACATTATATGAGTAATTCCATATATTTACACTATATATTGCAAATCTTACTAGGAAAGAACGATTGGTTGCCTATTTGATTTCTTAAAACTGTACTAGATAAATTAACACATAAATAAAATAAAAATGAAAAACATAAGTCACAGAGAAGAGATAGCATACAAAGGAGAGAGATAGCAATCAAATGTTGAAAAAAAATGTTACGGCATTTCGTGAAAAAACTTTTAATTATATAAAGATTTTAAAAAAGTCAAATAAAACTCTTTTTCAAGTTATAATAACTAATAGTGTGCTACTCCCTCCGGACTGATAATACTTATCGTTTTAGACAATGATGAGGTTAAACTTTACAATCTTTGATTATAAATTATTTTTAAAATATTTGTCTTTCAAATATGGTAACTACATTTATAGATTAGTTTTAAAAAGTCATATATTTCTTAACACTTTTATACATATTATAATGAAAAATAATAGTCAAAGTTGTTTTTTTAGACCGTGCCCTTGTCCAAAACGATAAGTATTATCAACCCAGAGGGAGTAATAGCTTGCTCTGGTTTCCGTGCTCAGTTGTTTGATAGGAATGAGTGCAGCCTCAGGCTGTGTTCAGTGGTGGGTGTTGGAAACACATTACCCACGCACGGAAAACGGACCGCATTAGCACGTGATTAATTAAGTATTAGCTATTTTTTTCAAAAATAGATCAATACGATTTTTTAAGCAACTTTCGTATATAAACTTTTTTAAAAAAACACCGTTTAGTAGTTTGAAAAACGTGCGTACAGAAAACGAGAGGGGAGAGTTGGGAACTCATGTACCGAACACAAGCCTCAGGCTAGATTCGATTGATAAGGGTAGGGGTGAAAACAGTAACGGTAATTACCGGCCGACCGGCGTTCGTTTTCGACTTTCTACCGGCCGAGCCATATGGAAATGGTAATCGACCGAAACAAAAATGGAAATGGTAAAAAATATGGAAATGAAAACGGAAATGGTTTTGCTGTTATACCGATCGTGTCCGTATTTACCGTATTCTCGCGGAAATTACCGTTTCTTATAATATGGTAATTACCGTATTCTAAATATGTCGATATTATAGGACATGTCTATACTTAACCCACAGCTTATAGATTGAATGACTCTTCAATAAAATCTCTAACTTTTGTACATGGCTAAAATGAAGTTAATTTATAATTTATATAGTATAAGCTTGAATTTATGTATATATATATAACATACTTATGTAAAGTTAAATATATGTTTTTATAGTTTAATGTTTCCGTATTTGTTACCGGTTTCCGATCTGTACCGACATGTTTCCGTCCGTATTGTTCCGTTTCCGGTTTTCCGATATTTCCGATATCGTTTTTGTTTCCGACTTTACCGTTTCCAATTTCGTTTCCGAGAAAAATATGGTTACGGAAATGGTTGAGGCTATTTTCCGATCGTTTCCGACCGTTTTCATCCCTAGATAAGGGCATCACCAATGTATATTTACCAACTAGTAAATAAGGTGGGACCTAGTAAAAGTAGGTATTTATTGTTAAAAGTTTCACAATGTATAACTAGCAGGGTTCACTTTCTCGCCGGTAACCGCGCGGTAACCGCGGTTACCGGGCTTACCGTGGGGGGTCGGTAACGAAAACCGGCGGTAGGGTTTGGGCAAATTTTGCTCAAATTCAAAAATTTGAAAAATAATCGAAAAAAATCAAAAAAAAATCATGGATGTAAAGCTTGTTTTGTATGTTGTTATGGTGAAAAAATTTCATCAAAAAGATGCAGGTAAATTCAAATTTGAGCGCAAAACCTATTGTGAATTATAAAAAAGAAAAAAGATTAAATGGAATGGGCCAAGTATGCACTGTTCACGAGGCCCAATAAGGCCCACAATGGGAGGAAAATATCTTTGGAAGCCTCTGCTTCGTTTCTCTGGCGAATCCTACCGTTTTTCCCCTCTCTCGCGTAGCTGCGCTCAGGACCGAAGGGGCGACGGCGTGCGCCCGCGCCAGATCCGCCGCCTCCGCGCCGGCGAGGCCGGTTCCCGCGCGGTAAGCGGCGGTAACCGCGCGGTACGCGACGGTAACCGCCTGGGTCGACGGGCAAGAGGTAATCCCTCCGTTTTGAAGGTTTTCGCGCGGTTAGGAGCGGTAACCGTGCGGTTTTGTATGGTTACCGTCGGCTTCGTAATCTATGAGACGATATACGTATGTGCGGTAATCGTGTGAAAACCGTGGTAACCGTCCACCCTACCATGGTTACCGTGGCTTGAACCGTGGTATGGTATTTTTTACTGTGATATGCATGGACATATTTGGGGATTTAGGTCAATAGAACATATTTTTACCAATATGCATGTGAAATACATTGGGAATATGAGTTTATTTCGGCATTTGGTTGCCCGTGCTTGGCTAAAACCATGCATGTGAAGTATATTTGATTGCTTTGGTCTATGTACATATAGGTTAAATTAAATACGTCATAGTATGGAAGAATTTGGATGCATGCTTACCAGTGTACATATAATTACGTCGTATTATTGCATAATGGGAGGTATGTTTATAATTAGCAGTGATAATTTCTCATGCATTTGATACAGGGTGGAGATGTCAGATAGTAGGGACCCTGTGTGGGAGCACGGGGAGAATATCCCACCTGGATGGCGCTGTAAGTATTGCCATACAAAGAGGGGCGGTGGTGGGGCAACAAGACTAAAGCAACACTTGGCTGCAAGAGGGAAGGGGGTTACATATTGCAATTCAGTGCCTCCGGATGTCCGTGAGTTCTTCTGCCGTGAGTTGGACAGGATAAAAGATGCAGGTGACCAGCGTAAGAGTGATAGCGGAAGAAGGGTTGAAGCAGCAAGGGTCAACTATTATGACCTAACAGGTGATGCCGACGAGGAGGAACAAATGGAAGCAGCCATTGCAGCCTCACGACAAGACGAAAACTTTAGGAGGGATGTTGAGGAGCGTGGTGGCACTTATGAGCATGGCGGTGGGAGTGGATCCGCTCAGCCGGAGGCACGGAAAGGTAGAAGTAACCCAATCACCAATATGCTACGAAGGGCTACGTCTCATAGGGAGTCACCTGCTGTGAGAGATTACAACCTAGCATCTGCCAAGGCCCCTGTGCAGCCACGCATTGACACAGGATTCTTCACAAAGAAGGGGAAGCAAGCTAGGCAAGCCATTGGTGAGTCATGGGCAAGGTTCTTCTTTACCGCCGGCATTCCTGGTAGAAACGCCGATAATCCATACTTTGTGAGCGCCGTTCGGGAGACACAAAAGTGGGGTACGTATGCATCTATTAAGGAACTTCTTTTTTTCTAACTCATTGTGCACTACTTATTTCATACGTCAATTGTAGGTGAAAGTGTACCTTCTCCAACTGGTAACGAGATAGATGGAAAATATCTTGATTCTACAGAGAAGGATGTGAAGAAGCAATTTGATAGGTTCAAGAAGGATTGGGATGAGTACGGTGTTACTATAATGTGTGATTCTTGGACAGGTCCGACGAGTATGTCGGTCATCAATTTTCTGATATACTGCAATGGAATAATGTTTTTCCACAAGTCCATTGATGCGACCGGGCAAAGCCAGGATGCTAACTTTGTGCTGAAGGTATGTATGGTTCATGCAACAAATTACTTCATCACCTGTTATCGTCAGTGTTAGGGGCATGGACTAATTTTTATTATGTTATCTACCAATGCAGGAGATAAGGAAGGTGGTACGCGAAATAGGCTCGGAGCATGTTGTTCAAATTATCACTGACAATGGCTCTAACTACAAGAAGGCGTGCAGACTACTACGGCAAGAATACAAGACAATTGTGTGGCAACCTTGTGTGGCACACACAGTTAACTTGATGCTTAAGGAGGTTGGAAAAATGCCAGACCACGAAATGGTGATTGAGAGTGCTAGGAAAATTTGCAGATGGCTATACAATCATAACAAGTTGCATGCTATGATGGTCTTAGCTATAGGTGGTGAACTGGTTAAGTGGAATGCTACAAGGTTCGGAACAAACTACATGTTTCTCCAGAGTTTCCTTAGGAAGCGAGATCTTTTCATGCAATGGATGGCTTCCTCTGTCTTCATGCAAAGCAAATTTAGTGGGACTTTGGAAGGTAGATATGCACATGCATGTCTATCTAGTCTGTCTTGGTGGGAGAACTTAGAGGCAGTAGTGAATTCTGTCCAACCTATGTACTCATTCCTTCGGTTTGCTGACGAGGACAAGAACCCCAATTTGAGTGAGGTACTTTTGAGATATCAGTTGCTCAAAATGGAGTACGACACTCTTTTTGCGAATCAAAGGGACAAGTTTGAAGCATACATGGAGATCGTGAACAGAAGGATGCACGACCTAACCAATGAGACTCTCATCAATGCCGGTAAATATTGGTCATAACATAATCCACATGGCATATTATGTAACTCTTACTTAACATGTGCCATGTTTTGTAGCTGCCGCATTGAACCCTAGGACGCACTACGCGTATTCTCCAAGTGCTACTGTCTTCCAAGACCTCCGACAGGCATTCGAGTGGATGACGGATATCGATACGGCTGCCGCCGCTTTGCTGGAGGTTGAGATGTACCGACGTAAGACGGGTGAATTTGGGAGGGCACTAGCAAGAAGGATGGCCATAGATGGGAAAACTTCACCTGGTATGTTTCTAATCATGGAACTATGATATATCTAATTGATCTTGATGTATTCAGAATTATGAAATGACATGTTACTTGGCTTTTGCAGCACAATGGTGGTCTATGTTCGCCTCAGACACGCCGAATTTGAAGAAGCTTGCGTTGCGTTTGGTTGGTCAATGTTGCTCCTCCAGTGGATGTGAAAGGAATTGGAGCACATTCGCATTCGTACATACGAAGGTCCGTAATAGACTTACCCACAAGAAGCTCAACAAGCTAGTGTACGTGAACTACAACCTTCGCCTTCGAATTCAGCAAGCAAATGCCCAAATTAGGGTGGAGGACGATGATCCCCTTCAAAGATTAGCGGACCTCTCATTCTATGAAACTAACAATCATATCAGTGCCTGGATGGACAATGCTCGCTCTAATGCTTGCCCCGAACTAGATGAAGATTCAGCTGAGAGTGACGCTCCCCTGCCTAGTCAACTTGTGTCTGACCTAGTCAACTTGGATGACCTGCGAAGGACCACGGGAGCTTCTAGTATTGCTGAGTGGGCTGATACGAATGTAGGTGACACTCATATTGGGAAAAGGAAGACTCGAAAGCCGCCAAAAGCACGTCCATCTAAAAAGGTAAAGGGCAAGGGTCCACGATCGACTAGTGTTGATAGCGATGAAGAGACCCAAGGAAGCCCAGAGTACCAAGAGTCCAATGATAGTAGCTCAAGAACTGAAACAGATGACGGCGACGATGATGGTCAAGGAGGCCAAGGCACTACTAATGTGCCTCCTAGGGGTCACACCCAACAATCAGATCACCACAGCCCCGTTCAATTCACTGGTGTGATATAATTCAGTTGCAATTTCAACCTTCATCTTCCAATTCAGTACTGGATAATTTTCTTGCAATTTTTTGATTTGCAGGTGAGGGCGACTTCACTCATGCTACTCAGGACCAGGATCATGGTGCTCCAAGCTCTCAACGAACTACCATTGCACCGGGAGTCCGACAACAGCAACAATTCAGTGACATACAACAGGATAGCTCTAGCTCATTCAGTGCCTCTAGCTTTGAAAGTGGCTATCCAACGTATGTGTACAACCGTCCCCAAGCTTCTGATTATCCTGCTACTACATGGGTGTATGAATGGCAAGAGCCTCAGTGGTATGCTCAATTGTACACTCAGTGGCAAACAACATCATCATGGACAGGTCAAAGTTGGGAGGAATACAAGGCGGGGTTGCTACATTCACATGGCTTGATGCTCATGTCCACAGAGGAGTACAATATGGCATATAATCAGTAGAATGCGTAGCTATGCATGTCCTTGTTTATTTCCTTTCATTCGAACTAGAATTGTAATCGTGGACATTATACTGTGGACTCTACAATATAGAGTAGGTCATGCCGAATTTTTCTGTTGTATAACCACATCTTAATTAACTAAAATACTCACATTTTAGTTTTTTTCTATTATTTTTTTCATTTTTCTTATTTCAGTTCCAACATAAACTAAAATACTCACATTTTAGTTTTTTTCTATTATTTTTTTCATTTTTCTTATTTCAGTTCCAACATATCGCGGTTACCGTCCTCTTACCGCGGTTACCGTACCAAACCGTGCGGTTACCGTGTCCATACCGTGGATTTTTAATTCAAAAATTTGAAAACGAAATTTGTGCGATTTTTCGCGGTAACCGCACGGTTACCGCGGTAACCACCATACCGCGGGGGGTCGGTAACCCCCCCCCCCCCCAAAACGGTAAGGTGAACCCTGATAACTAGTCATAAGGATCAATACATGAAGGGAGAGGGATGAGGATCAATACATGCCAAAAGAATCAATGTTTTTTTCTCCTTACTAGTCCCTTCTTCCCAAATTGATCATCATGTAATAGAATCCAAAATTTCTCAAATTGATCATCATATAACTGTATGGACACGGATTTCATCAGAGTACAATTAATGCAGTGTGGGAGAATGTGTACATGCTATGGTGTAATTGGCATGGAGTTTTAATTGATGTATGCATTGTGGGAGAATGTGTGCATAGTGTCTTGATTGATGTGATTTAAATTATTCTTCGTCTTGGTGCCTAAACTTATATGATGATCAATTTAGGAAGGAGGGAGTACTAGGTTGCAGTGCTCTTGTTTGGTAATAGCTATTTACTGGTTCCACAATACTTAGGCTCCGTTCGTTACCAGGGTTCCCAACCTCCCTCCCTCGTTTTCCACACGCACGCTTTTCAAACTGCTAAACGGTGCGTTTTTTGCAAAAAAAAATATTCTATATGAAAGTTGCTTAAAAAATCATATTAATCCATTTTTGAAAAAAAAAATAGTAAATACTTAATTAATCATATAATAATAGGTGCTTTGTTTTGTGTTCCGGGGAACCCCTCCTCCCGAACACAGCATTACTAGTACTTGGTATGAAGATTAAAATATTGCCTATTATCTGGTTTGGGAGCACATTGTGGATGCCCTAAACCACAAAGAAAGGTCCAACAAAAATATAATTCCAGTAGGATTTTTATATTTCTACTTTCAGTAGTTTAAAAACCAAGTAAACAAATAGGAAACAATAAAAAAGTTGGCATTAAATAAGTATGGAAATTTAAATTTCAGCTACGAGTTATAAGCCAGTAAGCAAATAATAGGGACGAAAGTTTGGAAGGCCAATTAGAAGTGCCTTGTAACCCAGATTGAGTTTTTTTTAGCAGCTCAATCGCTTGCAGGAAAACTCTACTACTTTCATGTACTCTCTGTGTAAAAAATCAACTTCTATCTACAATTCTACTATGGTCCCCATCGTTTGGCATATTCATATGCTTATCAGCCAAAATTTGAATTTTCAACGTTAAATTTGGAGCTGATTTTGGGGTTTTTATCGAAGTTTATTTTTTAGCTTTGTTTTTAGATCGCTAAGAACACATATATAAAAATTTTATTCACAAATTACTTTTCGTTTGTAAATATGCCGTTTGGCTTATTCCACTAATATGCCAAACGATGGCTCCAGTCCAGATTTTTTTGGGGGGATTTTAATAAAGGAGGCTGTACGCTGTAAAAAAAAATATCTCCCGTACTCCGTCCGTCTACAAAATAATCTAATATAGAATGTGAACTATCTTTTTTTTAAAAAAAGAATGTGAACTATCTTAAAACAATGAAACAATGAATTTAGATAAGTGTTTGTCTAAATCCATGGTTCTATTTTGTGTTAATTTTTTTTGGAAAACGAGGCAGTACGTGGCAATCACATGATGGGAGTAGATGAGAATATTTTCAGTTTGGATCCGGTCGTCCGTCCACGGCGCGTTTGGCAGGTCAGGTGCATGTGCCGGACCAGCGGGCGTTCGTACAGGCAGTTGCGATCCGATTCTCTGCACCCCCGATCTTATCCAGACGCCACGCCCCAACCAATCGACATCACACGGTACGAACCACGGCAGTCTCGTAGTACAGCGTACAGCCTCCGGTTTCCGCTTCTTTCTTTCCAGCCTCTTTCGTGGTTAGAGAGAGGCAGTTCCTGTATTTTGGGTTTTGTTTATGCAGAGCATCACCGACGCATTGCCAAAACATTTTTAATCCCCTAAATCTTTTTTAAATCTTTAATAGTATGATTTAAGGGATAAAAATATCTTTTCCTTCGAGACAGCTTGATTTAACTTATTAAAAAAAAACAGGCTATGTAACTTCCAAACAAAACTGGTCTCTTTGAGAGACATTCCTGATACGTGGAAAGGTGGAAAGCGAGATTTAAAGAGAAGGAATGTTTTCTTTATATAATGAGTTTAGGAATATTGTTGGTCGTTAATTATATGGGATTGTGAGTGGTATATAGGACAATTGTTAGCCATGCTCTTATCACTAATTAAAAACATAGCTTTAGACCTAATTTAAGGGTAGATTACCGAGTACTTTCTTCGGTCTCAAAATAATTTTATTTTTTACATCTTATTGTCCCAGATAACTTCATCTTTTAATAATTTAAAATCGTTGTACTAGAGTTTGTGAAAGTGGGAGGTTTATTAAAGTGAGAAATTAACTATATTAAGATTTATTAAAGTGGAAGGTATTCTAAATTCTCTTACCTTTGTATTGGTGTGTATAGGATGTGTGGAAAATAAGTTATGTTAGACAAAGGGAGTGCATTATTACCGTGGATTAAATATTTTAATAAGCTAACTGCACCTGTTTTTTAAGTTAGAATATTGTGGCATAGATATGATAAACACGTGACGCGTGCTAAAATAGGAGCATTGCAAAGTTTGTGAAAATGTATATGTACTATGTTCATGGTCAATTGCTCGTATTTTTGCATGTCCGCGTCATGAATTAGCCGACACAAAGCTTGTTCCTTGCTCGCTACTTAAATCTGCCTTGTTGACTCGTTTTCTTCTGTCCAGCATCCGTGGGCTCCAAGAAAGCCATCTAGTGGATCTTCATATCGTCCTACCCAACGATCTGATCGCTGCTGGAGAAAAAGACTTTAATCCCGGTTCGCAACTGTTTTAGTTCTGGTTGTGTAACAGGGACGTATAATCCGGCATATTTATTCCGGGACTAAAGATACATTAAAAAAATGTGTGGTATGTGGGATTCAAACTTAAGATCTCTCATCTCAGCCCTTACGTGCGCTACCATCGCACCCACTACACATATTTGATTTGGATAGAGACGTTTTCTTTTTAAACTAACCATGGAATCATCTTTAGTCCGGGCTGGTAACACGATTCAAAATTAAGATCTCTCACCTCAGCCCTCACGTGCGCTACCATCCCACCCACTACACACATTTGACTTGGATAGAGATGCTTTCTTTTTAAGCTAGTCATGTAGACATCTTTAGTCCGGGTTGGTAATAGTAGGCGGGACTAAAGATGGATGATTTTAGTCCAACCGGGACTAAAGATCGTTGGGGGCCTGACATGGCCTGACAGTTATTGAACCGTTGCTAAAATAATCTTTAGTCCTGGTTCCTATTTGAACCAGGACAAATATGATTTTCGGCATCGGAATAAAGATCAGTTCTCCAGTAGTAGATAGATTTTTAGACGAAACTCGACGTTTTGGATATAGAGAAAGAAGATGGAGGAAGCATAAATACCGGTAATAAAGTGGAAATTAATGTGATGAATCACTAATACAGAAACCGACATAGGTGTCTGCTGGGAACCAGCTATAGGTGCCGGTTTTCTAACCGGCACCTATTGGTCGGCACCAATACAAACAGCCGACACCTATGCGGAAAATAGAACCGGCACCTTTAGCTTTGCTCGAGCCAAAAAAAAAATAGAGAGAGCCAGCTCGAATTGAGCCGAACTCACCATCCACACTCCATCGTCGTTCCTCCCCCGAGCCCATCCCTACTCCCCTTCATCACCGCCTCTTGGATCAAGATCAACTCCAACAACAAACTAGTCATCAAGAACTAGCGAGTAGTACAAAGCATTAAGAACTCAACAAGAAATCAAAAAGAGAAACTCAAGAACACATGTCACAGGGGTTTCAAAAAAGAACACATGCCACTGGTAGCCACCTCACCCACGCCACCGCCGTCCTTTTACACACTCACCGTCGTCGTTGCATGGGGAGGGCACGGCCGCTGCCGCCGTCGAGGTGTGCCACCGCTGCCTCCGCCAAGCGGGAGCCCGCCGCCTTCTCGCTGGCTCTCCTCCCGCTGGATCTAGAGGAGGGGAGGGTGCGGCCACCGCCACCACCTTTGCCAGGCAACCACTGGCCATGAGAGCCCGCTGCCTCTCCACCGGCTCCCCTGTCGCCGAATCTAGTGGAGGGGAGCTCGCCGTCTCCCCTCCCACCGGATCTAGCGGAGGAGAGGGTACAGCCACCGCTGACACCTCTGCCAGGCAGCCGCCGGCCGCGGGAGCCTGCCGTCTCTCGCCTCCTCCCCCCACTGCCTCCCCTCCCGAGTGCTCGCCGCCTTCGCTAGGCAGCCATCAGCCGCAGGAGCCCGCCGCCTTGACCGGGCAGCCACCGCAAGAGAGAGAGGGGAGGGAGAGCGACGTGAGAGAGATGGGAGGGGAGGGAGAGAGAGACGAGAGAGATTGAGAAGGATAAGGCAAAGACGAGTAGATAAGGACGCGGTGGGTGTGGTGCGCTGATGGCTCGGCTTAAAGTTATAGGTGCTCTTTTTTAAAAAAAAGTACCTATAATATATTATAAGTACCGGATTTTGAATGATACATTTTAAGTTGCTGTGTACTATATATACACGAGAAAACTCATTTATATAGGATTTGTTACCCATAAGTTAACCGCACATATTACATAACGCTATTTTTTTTGAGTCGGAAATAGTACCTACAACTCCTCCTTCAAGATCCTTAGGAATTACAAAGTCAGGTAAAGTTCATACCCATTATTACTACACAGTTACATAACCTTTACCCTTTTTAAGACATAAAACAGGAGATAAAAATGCTCAAACTATTTTTATCACCTGACAGTGACACGTGGCACGCCAGACCATCAAACCCAATCCATCTCTAATCTCCATATGATATCCCATCTATAAATTTCACCCAAAAACCTCTCCTCCTCCAAAAACAAGCAGCGATCCCAAAAATCCAAGCAGTTTCCTCCTCTCCAAACCAGGCTCATCTCCATCTCCTTCCCCGCGCGAGAGAGAGACCCCTCACCTTCGCCATGGACGGCGGCGGCGGCGCGAAGAAGAGCCGGAACCCGCACAAGGCGCCGGCGGACTACCGCAGCGACCGCAAGTCGGCCTCCGGGATGAGCGGCGAGCCCAAGAAGGGCGGCCGCGGCGGCAAGTTCACCTGGGAGGGCGCCGACGGCTACGCCGACGAGGACCTCGACCTCATCTCCCCCAAGAACTCCACCTCCCACTCCAAGTCCGCCGCTTCCGCCGCCGCCGCCGACAGCAGCAGCAACAAGAAGTCCGGCGACGACGAGTAGTAGGCAGGCGGCCGCCGCCTCCCCCGGTGTCGCTCGGTCGGTGTTCATCCCCTCGCAATCCTAGCTGTTCTTGGAATAAGTGTGTCGTGTTCATCGGTAGTGGTTGGATCGACGGGCCATGGGGATTTGTAGATATATCATCATTATCTATCTTTTAACTCTTGCTAATGTTGGAGTCTTCGGTTCGGTTCTTTGGCCTAAACCGATTTATCTTTTATCTCAGCCGTATTAGCAATTGAAAATCCTGCACTTTGGTTGAATTTGCTGCTCTTTGTTTTCCTGATGAATCTATCGTCTTCAGTACTCATCTGAAGATATTTGCAGCTCTAGTTGACGATATTTACTGAAGATTGCAGGTTATAAATTTACCAGATACTCTAGGATCAATTAATCCTAGTGCTACCAACTCTGAATTATCTGAACAGAAGATGGAAGTTTCATGAATCGGTGATCTGATCTAATCAGTATCTGCAGTGTGATACTGTGAATCTGTGATACACAAACTGACAGTAATGACAAGTCGCTCTCGTGATTGCGGCATCGCGGTCCATTCATTGTCCAAGGCCGATAATAAAAAGAATGATTATCCGTCATCATCCAGAACCGATAAATAAAGGGAAATGATTATCCAAAAAAAAATCATCTATGGTCTATTGCGGTATTGCCTATTGGTCTCTCAAGTCAACTATTCTTAACCTTTTTTTTCTGGGCAGACTGATTGCACTGCACTATTGCACTACTGGTTTTGCGACTATCTTCAGTGGACAGTGGCCTGCAGCAATGAGCTGAGAGAGGTAGGATCTAACCAAAAAAAAAAAACACACCATTGTGTTTCTGTGCCAGAATTTTGTTGGATTTTTTTAATAAAAAAGTTCAATTCTTGTAAGAAGTGGAATTTTTTTTGGACGTTTCAACTAATACAACATATTAACTACTACCCTTGAACCACACTTGACACTTCCCTTCCTTTTTCTTCTTTCCAGATTTATTTATTTATTTATTGATTCAATAGCAACATTGAAGCATGACTGCATGAGCAGTAGACACTAGACTGTGGTCGCCAATTTGTCGCCATTGACGGGTTAAAGCTGTGTATATGGCCGATTTTAACTTGAAAATATAGCAGAATTCAGTTCAATTCAGTTTTTGGTTGAGCTGATCGATCTCGATTTCTGGCATTCGCTGACATGCTGTTACCATTGCACATCTGTGAAGTTATCATTGAGATGTTCTAATGTATTGAAACAAAAGTGTGACCGCTTTGCACAAGTTTTAAACTCGTGTCAATACCAGAGTTTACAAAACCGCGCGGTTACTGCGGTTATCATACATGGTAACCTTTTCAGTTTTTAAAATCATGGTATGTCTCGCGGTTACCACGCGGTTTTCGCGGTAGCCACCTTACCGCGGGGGTGCGGTAACCGCGCCAAAAACAACAAGGGGAATCCTCGTCAATACTCAATAGTTGTGAGTTCTGATTAATCAATTCATGAATTTTCAGTTGAAGAGATGAAAACTTGTACTGTACCTTTTAGAACAGGGGCCAACTGAAGGATCCAAAATAAAAGAGAGTTCCAGCTAGCTTTGATTCTACCCCTTTTCAATGAGAAAATTCGACCTATAGCACAGGAAAAAAAGCGGTACCAAAAAATAGCATAAAAAGTTCCCACTTTCGATCTATAGCATAGGCCACCATTTTTTTTCGCCCGGTAGCACTTCCGTCGCATTTTGAAGTAACGGCGTTAGATCGGAGTGGAGAAAATTTTTGTCGGACTCATTTACCCTTCGTTCCCCACGTGTTTGGCCGCGTGTTCGGTGACGCCGGCGGCGGCGGAGGTCACGGAGGAGTAGAGGCCGCTGCTTAGGAGGCTGTTCCTCGAGGAGGGGCGGAACTCGTCCGTCGGGTCGTCATCGTCGTCGTCGGACATCGCCGAGCTGGACGGCATGTCGCCGGACAGCTACTGCATCTGGGTGTCCTCGCCGTCGCCAGCATCCTCGCCGTCGCGCCCCCCACGGAAGAGCGGGTCGACGGGGTCCATCACGCGGTGGCGCCGCATCAGCGAGCTCGTCATCGGCCGCAGCCATAGCGACGGCAAGGAGAAGTTCCGCTTCATCTCCGCGCTGTCGTCCCTGGCCAGGGAGCACCCCAAACCGAAGCCCACGACGAAGGGCGCCACCGCCACCAAACCGCATTCTTCACTGACGGCGGCAAAGAGGCCGCTCGAGGACGAGGACGACGATGATGACTTGGGCGGCCCTAGTGTCAATGTGGATGGATGTGGGCCGTTGTATGCCCTCGGGCTCATCAGCTCCGTCATCGCCGACGGCGCTGGCAAACACCGCCGTGGTGGTCGTACTCGGCGTCGCAGCCCACACCTCCGCCGTCCTATCCCTGCTGCTGCTCGCCGTCGAGGTTGCCGCCTACCTCCAGGGGTGGAACCTCGAGGAGGTGGCGTCACTCCCCGCCGTCGACGGCCTCTTCGCCGCGCCTCCATTGCCCTCTTGCTCGGGAAGAAGGGCAAATGAGTCATTTTTCATGTCGACTCACATGTTTGGATGGCAAATGTGACGGGAGTGCTATAAATCGCAAGAAAATTGGTGTCCTGTGTTTCTGGTCGAAGTAGAAAATTTGTCGTGCTATTTTTTGGTACCGGGTTTTTTCCTTTGCTATGGATCGAATTTACTCCTTTTCAATTGTAATTGGAAAATGTGTAGCTAGATCATGTCAAGGTGCTACACCCTTTTCCAATTGTGCTTTTAAAAAAAAGAAAAGGAAAATTGTGTAGATAGATCATGTGAAATTACGTTGAGATAATTTGAAATTATACCTTTTCGACGAAAACCAAAATATTTTGAGGTTTCGGCACGGGATGAAAGCAATTTCTGAGTAAAATTCTACACTTGACCAAAACTTAAATTCACAATAGTAAATCTAAACGAAATTCATCGAAACTTAGGTGAACTCTAATACTAGGGTAAAAAAGAAAGTTCATCCCACGGTCTGCACAGTGCATCGCAGGCTCCCCATCAGGAAAAAGAAATAGAGGGGGGCCTCATTTCACGCTCGCAGAAGGCAGGAGAAACTCACCCTTGTCAAGATAGCATGGGGCAATTCTATTTCTTCATGTTGGACATCCACATAGCACACAAATCTAAGTAAACAACGATAAATTATTAAAAACTAGTGGTAGGTGAGAAACTGGAAGAGAAATTAAACTTCTAAGAAATCTTTTATATCAAAGTTAGTGATAGGGGAGCATAGAAAGACTAATGACTTATGTTGACTTTGGAGCCTAATGGTAGAGGCGTGTGTAACCATGAGTCCACCATCATAGTAGAAAATAATGATTTTGCAGGTATTTACTGTAGCAATGTTGTAAACACAGGAACTATGCTAAACGGTAGTATATCGTATTATTATTTATTTGGTACTGTAGCATACTGTAACGATCAATCTCGTTCGTTTGCTATTCACCTTTAACTTTAACAAGTCAGGGGATCTCAATCCATTAACGTAGAGGCAGGGTTTATGATTCCGATGAAATCCGACCAGATTTCACGAAATTTCGACGTTTCAACGAGGCTTGGAAGTAGAAACCGTCTGAGATTTCGAGAAGTTTCATCCAAATTCAAATTTGAATTAATAAAAAAAGAAAAAAAAGAAAAAAAAACTTATAAATACTATGATATTTATAAAACCTATTGGGATATAATTTTTTGAAAAAAATTATGTATTGTGTGTATTTACTGAAACTTACATCAGGAAAGAAAGAAAAGAATAAAAAATTAAGAAAAAGAAAAACTTACATGGGCCAAAACCAACCGGAATTAAAAAAAAGGAAAACACTTACTAATTGAAATTTCGATCGGAATTTCGGTAAAACCGACCGGTTTTCGAGAACTTGTCGGCAAACTCGAGGAATTTGTATTCAAATTTTAGTTTATGAAATTTGTTCGGAATTTACCGGTTTTCTACCAGATTTCATGAAATTCTGAATACCGCAAGTGTCTGGAACGGAAGGGCATGTCAGAATTGTAAACCCTGTGTGGAGGGGTTTTTGGATTTCCGATTTAATTAAAGAAAAAGAAAAACAGAGAGAAAAAGAAAAGGAAAATCGTCGGCGATCCATCTCGCTTCTGCCATCCCATCCCCGCCCGAGATCCATGCCGGCAGTCCACTCGCGGCCCCCCCCAAGATCCACCCGCGCAAGTCACAGATCGCGCCGGCCATGGCCATCGGCGGCGACGCGGCGAGCATGGTGGCCGTCGGCCTCGTGTGGGGCACCACCAACGCCCTGATGCGCCGGGGCGCGCTTGTCTGGGACCACCGCCTGCGCTCCCTTCCCGCCACCTCCTCCTCCGTCACCGGCGTGCTGCGGCGGTGGGCGGAGCTCCTCCTGACGTGGCAGTACTCGGCGCCGTTCGCCGTCAACCTCGCGGCATCCGCCGCCTTCTTCAGCCTCCTTGGCGCCGCCCCGATCTCCGTTGCCGTGCCCGTCACGAACGCCACCACCTTCGCCGCCACCGCTGTCGCCGCCGCCCTCCTCGGCGAGGGCACGCGCGCAGCGCCCGCAGCGCTCGGCACGGCGCTCATCGTCCTCGGCGTCTGGGTCTGCATCTCCTAGCACTTCAGGTTGTGAAAAGGGACCCTTTCTTGGGAATTTCTGTACTTTCTTTTTGTTTCTCTTAAAATGATGGAATAGTATGTACTCATGTTTGATGAAATTTTCTGTGCAAAGCTTTTGGAAATGATGAATGAATTATGGTCGAATTTATTCAGCACAGTTGCTGTGCTTGGAATTCTGGAGATTGAGCAAACAAAATGTGAGCCTGTCTCAGCAAGCGATTCTTGGAATTCCATGATCAGTGTAGATGAATCCTCTGAAGAAGATCCGAGTAAGTGACAGGTTATTGACATTCTGCAGTTCACAACTCTGTTTGCCCCCCTGACTCGAGCTAGCTAACATTGATGCCAACTTGCCAAGTGTGCATTCATGTATTTTCACAAACATTTGATGATCTTCTCAATGGCATTCATGTATTTTCAGAAGTTTTCAAACTACACAAAATGCAAAATCCAAAGAGAGTGTAGCTTAACTCAGGAGAGGAAAATTTCTACTCTATGATAGAATCTTATCAGCCATTTATGCTAGTCTAATCAATAGTTCATTACTGAGGCTAACTAGTTGTAAGTTGTAACTTGCAAACACTGGTTTTGTGCACACAATTAATTGTCATGATTAAACTCTAATGAGTGATCTTGTGACTTGTGAGCATGCCCATTCTACTGTCTGATGTGAATCCCTATCAAAGGAGCATGGCCCATCACCATGAGATTTTTTTCAGCACTTTGACAAGGATAGCCATAGACCAGTACAAGTGTACAACTGAAATGTAAGAACAAGTAGTACTTGTCTGTAAGAGATTTTTTCACAATGATTGACAGCGATTCACTTGTAATATTTATCCTATCCTTTGTTGACTCATCCTCATTGTGTCCATGAATCTACACCAACTACCATGGATTACGCTGTCAAATTGATTCTAATTATGTGATCATGTGAATACAGATGCAGTATATAAATGCAATATGTATTGCAATCTTGAAAAGGCTGGCAATAATTTTGATATGCAACAGGTAATAAGCTGGAGGGCTCACATGCATCTCCTGCCTCCATCCTGGACACACCTTGCAGGATGGATGGCTAGGATTGATGATCAGCAAGCACCTCCTCCAATGGATTATGGATGTCTCATAATCAGAGTCAAAGCAGAGGAGAAATCACAAATTCACAATTCACAACTACCAGCAGGCATGGGGAGACAGCATGCATGGTTGATGGTCCTTGGCAGCTATCACCCAAAAATTCAGAGTGAGATGTTTGCTGCTGCATCTGCAAATTCAAGTACATGGGCTGATGGGCACATGGCTGCATGATCTGTATATCTGCAAGTACTTTGTGGAGTTTGTAGCACCACGGTTCATAGCTTTGACCACATCAAGGTGCTAGTTGCAGTGAAAGTTGTGAAGTGGATGTTGCAGTTGATTTGTGGATGTTTTGCTACCAGGGCAGAGGAAGAGTAGATACAGAAAATAAAATTACTCCCTCCAGATAAAAAATAATTACGTTTGACTTTCTTCTTTCATGTTCCTTATAGTGTGACTTTGCGCACGGTTTAATAAAAAAATGTACAAAATCTTTTTTATACAGCATAGGCTTGTCACGGAGCTTGGTGTTACTGTATGGGCTTGTCGACAAGCAGCTGATATGATAATATACTTACCTACATGGCACTTGCCATGTCATTCGCGTTGGTCTTCAAAAGGTTTGGGTTTGAAAATAAAATTTTATAGCATCTATGAATAAAATATTATTTTCTAAATGTTTAAATAATAGAAACACTAGTAGAGGCCTGGTCACTCAATAAATTATATTTTATCTAGAATTAAGTAGCTAGTCGTGTAATAACATAAAGGACTAGAAATATTAACTTATTGCTTAAAATGAACTTTACATGTACAATGGAGATGCTCTTGGACCCCTCTAACTGTCGAATGCAAACAAACCATTGATCCATCGAAGTTTTTGGGGCTTTCATATTACGCAAATGTATCGGGTTTGCTCTTTAGAGCGAGTACTGTATGCATCCAAGTACTTACCCCTAAGTGTCATGAAGCTCACATAATGAGGTGGAGAAGAGAAGGAAGGAAAGAGGGGAGTCATCCCTTACATAAGGAGCAACCTCTATACAAACTCCAAGAGGGATGAAATGAAGGGATCAGTGAATTAAGACTAAATAAATAAAATAAAATTATCATGGTACATTGGGACAAGTTCGCCAAAGGCAATATATTGTATATATTACTTCTTAATTAAGATGACTATTACCTCTATTATAAAACTTGATATTAAGCATACATCCATGCTGCAACTCATTTGCAACATATGGGAGCCAACATTTTGGCTCCTTGGCTGCTCCGACTGATACAACAGATACTACTTTTGTGTAGTTGCTGTGTTTATTTTTTTCGAGCATTGTGTCTCCTCCTCTCCCCCCTCCTCTACAGCTCTAGGCTATAACCCGAATTCCCTCCAAATTCACTGTATTAGTGCATCGCTTTCTTATTTTTGTATGTTGTATCCATTAAGCTTGAGACATTTGAAACATTAAACTGAATCTCTCATAACAACTCTCTTGTTAGTTTAAGATATGCCTAACCCTTCACTTCAATTGCAGAAAGTATCAGGGGCTATTCAAAAGGCTATTCTATGACTGCGGCTATTGCAACAAGGGTTTACCTTTTTATTTTCAAAGTGAAAATTGCTCCTTATCGGTTTACCGAATACCAATAAAAAACAATAAAATTTTGTCAATGTTGCATTAAAACTAGCTAATACTAGGCAATATTGGTTGAAAGCATTTGGGAATTTCCTAACTGTGCCGATACCGTTTTCATAAAACTAATATAATAGTAATATCTTTACCGATTTAACCATTTCTAAAATTTAGTCTCTCTAATTTCTATGAGCACCGCATTAAAATTGACACTAAATAATTAAATTCATACATATAAAAATTTCCTAACCGTTTCCCTAAAAAATGATAAAAAAAATAATGTTTCAGATCATTTTCAACTTTTTTCATCACTACCGGGTGAAAACCGATCGGTTTTGTGAACCCTGATTGCAGCTTGCTATTGAATTCTTGGTTGCAACAATATTCCTGTTGGTTGCGACACAGTGATAACCCAAGCTACCCAAAAACCCCTAATACCTTGTGAAATTCCGATAATATAATTTAGTTGATAACTATAGTGCTAAATTTAAAATACTCGATATGCCGTGTGTTTTATTATGGACCAAAATATAGGCACACATTTTTTTTGTCAAACCGCTAAAATGCAGTAGTACCTATATACCATGGAAAGCCATATAATGTGTGCAAATCAATGCTTTTTTCATGTGATCATTGGTGAAAATACTTTGCTTAAGACATCCGATGCCAAAGAAAATATCGGATGCCCTTTGCATGAGGCCCCACCGCCCCTCCCCACATCTCTCTTGCCATTTGCATAGGACATGTTAGGCCGTCTTGTCTCTCCCCATCTCTCTCACCATTTTCATCAACCCGAAATACGACGCTCGGGCGTCAAGATGTCCACCACTGCGGCTATAATCTCCGGCGAGAGCTCTGTCCCCGTCCTTGTAGGACCTTGGCTCCCATCCACCTCCTCTTTTTCCTCCTTGTTGCCGGTCCCCTCCATGGATCTTCCTCCCTCCGTTCTCAATCCTCTCCATGGAGGAAAGTTTGACGGCTTGACACAGGCAGGCGGCGGTGACCATATATGAAGGAATTGGCAAGGTGGTGGCTGGGCTCCGATGACGGAGAATCAATAGATGTAAGCAAGAGAGACATATCTGGTGGTTGGACTAGATGAAGAAGGAAGGAGGTAAGCTTTTTTCCTTTTCGGGAGTTTTTTTTAAGAATGTTGCAACATATTATTTCGCTCTATTTTTATTGTATGTTGCATCTTGGTGTATATTTGAATGTTGCGTCTTGGTGTATATTTGAATATTTCACTCTATTTTTATTGTATGTTGCACACTTTGATTCTAGGGTGTTGCAACCAAATTCTTCGAGTGTTGTATCTCGTTGCAACATTTTCCTTTAAGCAGTGAAACATTTGTTTACCGAATGTTGAGACATCTGAAACATTTTTTATCGATTGGTGAAACATGTGAAACAATTTTTTACATAGGATGAAACATTGTCCGTGCTGTGGCCCTCTCCGATCATTGGCACAGATTAATTTGGCTTCACCATGACAAAATGAGTAGGTAGACCGTGAGAAGAATTAGGGTGCGATTGAGACGTTTTTAATTATTACAAGAACATCTTTCGAATATAGAAATATACTAAGAAATCAGGAGAAAAAATATTTTGGTACCTATCTAATACGATCATCTACCATTCCTTCCCCCAAAAAATAGCCAGAAAAATACATTGCCTAATTCAAAAAAAAAAAATCGGTGCACACAGCACAGGCACCGCACAGCTATCTCGGCAAAATGGCCTTTCCTCTTTTCTCCTCTCTTCGGGCCTTCCCTTTCCCTTCCCTCCCGCGACTGACTTTTTTTCTTTTTTATTTTTCACCTCCCTCCCAAGTCCCAACTCCCCACTCCAGCAGCACACGCGCGTTCCCCCCCAAATTCCAAAATCTCGCTAGGGTTTCCCCCTCCTCCGCTCTCACACTGCCTCGCCTCCCCGGATGGACGAGACCCTAGCCTCCCTGCGCCGCCCGGTAACCCTAGCCCCTCCGCCGAGCTCTCACCCCCCTCGACCGCTGGATTCGCCATTTTTTTCTGATTTTTTTTTTGGATGAATTGCAGAAGCGCGGGCGGCCGCCGCGGCCGCGGGAGGACCACTTGGCCGCCGAGGACTTCGAGGAGGAGGGGGAGGATGAGGAGGCCGAGGCGGAGGCGCTCGCGCGGCCCCAGACGAAGCGCAAGCGCGCGGCCAGCGCCGCGGCCGCGGCCGCGCTGGAGGACCAAACCCTCATCGGTTCGCCTTCTACCCGTTCTTCCCATTCTCCTTTGCGCGTTGGTCGCCGTGGTCTCGCTGGAGTGTGGGGGTTGGTTGTGCTTGGGGATGCACTGCTTAGTGTGTAGCTGCTGAGTTGACGAGAGTGAGAGCTAGTTCGCAGTGACGCGGGATAAATTAGTCTATGTGGCTCTCTGGGTGGTGAATTGGTGATTCCTAAGGTTGAACTGAGGTTGGGCTAGTTTAGTTCATCAAGCAGTGTGATTTTCTGCTTTTGTAGTTGGTCTAGAGAATTTTGTTAGGATTGTTTCTTTTTTCAATCAGGAAATTCTAGGTTAGCTGAACAAAAGACCATTGATTTCGATTGGACTGTTAGTTACCTTGGTACTCCCTCTGTCCCAGTTTAGAGGGCGCGCGTAAATTTTTTTGACGGTTTACCAGTTTAGAGGGCGTGGTTCGTTTTTCACTGCTTTTCTTCCTGGAGTACCCTCCGCATGCATGCACATGACGCTTGGATATGCCCGCTCAATAACTGATCAAGCGACGCAACCGGCCGGCGCGTGGAGCTGCACATGTGTGGGACCACAAGGTTACATGCATGCAGCTGTTACTAATCTGCATGTGTTTGGATCAAACCCATTTTATTAGGGGCAGTTTAGGAAAAAATAACTCTGCATGTGAGCTGGTCTCGGTGAATTTATTTGTGCGCCCTCTAAATTGGGACGGAGGGAGTACTATCACCTGTTACTGGTTCAGTACCCTATCAATTCATTGGTAGTGCCAAAACCTAGCCAAATTTTGGCTCTACCAATTATTTGGTAGGGTAGAGTTCAGATTATATATGTTTGATTAGCTACCAATTTGTTTGATATAGTGAAGAAAGTTCTAGAGTGTTGCCAAATTAAATATGGGCATTACCGCTTTGGCTCTAATCCAAACAAATCACACTACTATTTAAGCTGCCAAATATTTGGTAAGGCACATTTTGGCATCAATCCAAAATGACCCATAGTATCACAAGCCGATCTTGAAACTGCATGGAGAGTCATGATTTATAAAGATATGTGCTGACCTCAGCTGGGGTTGCCCTAACCATAGTCCTGCCAGTACTGTAGTGCCTGCCCAGAATGATGCCAGAGGCTTGTAGATTATGCATCGAGATTTAAAAGATCCTATCATAACATGCTGCTCAAAATCTATGACTTAGACACTTACTCGGCAAGTTATTTTATCTTCAATTTGTGTCTTATTCCTAAAAACTTGGAACTTGCAGATATTATTAAACATAATGGCAGGCTTATCAGCCATGCTGTCAAAAAATTGGTCGAGGATTATGAATCAGATCCAAAATCTGTGATGTTTCAGATATTAGCGATGCTATTTGAGGTAATAGATGTTAACTTCTTAATGCAGTTTCTTTTGGTTGCTTATTTCATAAACCAGTGAATCTTATAATGACAGGCTTGTGGAGCTAGGCATAACTTTTATGCAGACTACCTGTATGAGGCAGATGTGGATGGTGTTGTGTTTTCCCTTGTCGAGCTAGCAAAAAAGGTATCCTGCTGCGATTTTCCCTAGAAGAGTGAATGGAGAATAATTTTTTGCAGCCTTGTGATTATCCAATGTGCATGCTATGTTTATCCTACATGTTACTAATCTTGAAATGATATGCAATGCTCTCT